GACCATCGAGCGATTCGAGTGGATATGTATGGCAATAAAGATCCAAGCGTGGGTAGAGCGCAAGTTCATTTTCCCGTGATGCATCTTGTGTCATCAAACGTGCTTGCGTTGTGACATCAAGGTGGCCAAAAAAGATTCGAGGCTTTGCAAGCGCGACGCCTGAGTGCACTTGATTCCAGCGCGTGTGCTGCGTGTTCGCCGTACGACTTGTCATTCGACACGCGCCGGCAACCGCTCTTTTGGCTGCAAAGAAAGACGGCGCCAGCTGGTGCATATCCCTGCGGACCGACCAGGCGTGTGCAGAGGCACGTTGCGAATCAGTTCACGCGCATGAGCATTCACAACACCCACATCTGGTCGCTGGTCGTGCCACGTATGACAGTTACACTGTATCCATGACGTGGCGTCCCCACACGCAGCTTCGTTTCAGACGCCAGGGATGCCTCCTCGCCATCCTTTCTTTCTAGAATAGTCTCGCGCTTGATACAAAAGGAGAGGACAATAAGAACTCGATGTACAAGGAATAGATTAAAACACAACTACACACACGATTAAATACTATCTTGGTACGCCAGCGAGAGGCAGTACTCGTCAATGTCAAAGCGAAAGGGCGCGCCGCCAAGGTTGAGGACGCACGCGTCGTTGAACGAGTGGAGCGCGACCGCCGCCGCGTACCGCACTTTCTCAGTCGGAATGAGCACGGGCGGCGCGCCGACCATGCGTCCGTTGAGCGTGAAAAAGATCTCGCGCGTCTTGCGGTTAAAGCCGCAGCCCACGACCGACCCGTCCGGGTTACTCTCGTTGTCCTTGCCAAAGCCAGGGCCAAACGACGAGCGCACGCCGCCGTAGCTGACCTCGCCGTTGTGTGCCACGAAGCCGCCGTCGTGGCTGTGGTACCCGAACGAAATGCCCTTCCAGCCCACATGGTCGTCCATGCCAAAGCCATAGGCGTTCATCGACGGCTTGTCGTACACGGACGCGATGCCGACGCTTGCGCAGCCCTTGATCTGGCCGACCTCAAAGTAGCTCACGTCGAGTCCCAGGGCTTTCGCGACCGAGAGCACGGGCAGCGCGCTGTACGAGCGGATCGAGTCGACGGCCCCGCGCTGGAAGCTCCGGAGCATCGAATTGTTGAGGACGTGCACCGTGAGGTCCGGCTGGAGCGCGGTGCGGCCGCGCGTCGAGACCTTGGGGTCGATGTTCGCGCGGAGTGCGTTCATCGCGACGAGGTTCTTGTACGAGAGGAGCATAAACTTGCGCGAGAGGCGGTTGTTGTTGCGCCATCTGCGACAGTAGGCGCTGAGCCAGAGGTACGGCGACTTGGCGACTTCGTGCATTTCCTTGCACACGAGGCTGCACTGCGTGAGCGACTCGAGGTCGAGAAAGTCAAAGCTGAGCTGCCATACGTTCTGCGCCATCGACTCGGACGACATCGTGTCGAACGAGCTGCTCGTGCGGCGGCGCAGCGGCACGTGGATCGAGAGCGGCAAGAGCGGGTCGACGGGCGCGAGGTCGGCCCACGTCACGGCGCGCTGGCTCGCCTGGGATTTGTACGATACATACATCGTGGTCGCGTCGGCGGTCGACGGGTCTTTGAGCAAAAGGAACGTGCGCAGCGTGGAGGAGGAGCTCGCATTGGAAGATCTCGCACTGAGGCTCGAGCCCGCGCCCCAGTGCGGAGCCATCGGTGTGAGCATGCTAGGCATCGGAGCAGTGGGCAGAAGATTGAGAAATAAGCACCGGCCGTTGGGCTTGTACACTTGAAGTTGGCTGGATCGAATGATACTTCTTTGCTCTCGGAAACTACAGTAGCCATATCCGGATACGAACGGCAAGGTGGGGTTTAGCCCAATGTCCCAAGCTGGGCGACTGGAAGTGATCACAGTGCATGGAGACCATCACGCAGTTCGGCGGGTAGAGAGTGCGTTGGTGCATTCTGTAGGGAGCGACCGACCGAGCAGACTCGATGACCGAGCGGTTATCGCTCCGTGCCGACGTGGCACCTTGCTTGGACTGGATGCGAGTCGAATGGGCGGAGATGAACCGAGTCGTTATGTAACCTCTTGAACGATGTGTGTTATTTAGAGCTCGGACTGCAGTTCTTTCGCGCCGAATCAATTGTCTAGTCTGGTTGTGACGCAGAGACTTGCTAACGACGACTGCTGCGGACCTCCCACACACAACATCGTGCGTCATGGACCGAGATGACGAGATCGATGGACTGATTTGGGTAAAACCCAATGTCCCGCTACATCCGGATACGGGCGCGGTGACACATCTGGTCGGGCGTGGAGCGTCGAAGGTTCAGGACGTCGAAGCTCGTGGCCGAGGACCGAAGGCTGACAGCAGACGCAGGGGGTGCATACGGCCGCCATTTGTTCGACAAAGTCCAACGAGCTCGAAGTGCGCGTGATCCGTCGATTCTTCGAACGTTGCTTCGCAACTTATGACAGCGTTTCCGTCGCACGTTGAAGTTGTCAAAGATCCTCGCCGTCGAAAGCTGCACCACGTGTGATTGGACAGAAGTTGGAGCCTTTCGCCAATCAATGGCGCGCCTTTTAATGCAGTGCCCAATCACGTGCGTGGCAGCGTAAAAAGGCTGGTCTCGCGCTGACACGAACCGCCTCGATACAGACGCGTGGCAGCATACCAAGCCCGCAAGTGGTGCCGAGAAATGCGTTGCTACTGCAAGTACCTACGAGGCCTGCCAAGCTTGTGCAATGGATGGCGTCCGCTCGTGATGGGGCGAAGCGGAAGGCTGTTTGTATGCAGCTCATCACGGATACCGGCACGACGACTCTATCGTTCGCGCACCCATCAACTTGATGTTTCCGCAATGGTGGGCGCCGTCTACGACTCGCGTTTCGTTGCCTGTCGACCCCCATGTCGCCAAGGGGCTGGTCTGGCTCTCGCGGGGGAAGCTGCACTAGCGAAATGGATCATTCATGATGGACGGCCGTGGACCTCAATATGATATTAGCGCGTGGGATTACGAAAGAACACGAACGTTCACGCCTTGTGCTGGTTCCCGCCGGTCCTGTTGAACCTGGGCCTTCGCGTGCATGCCATTGGCTAAAAAGAAAGCCTGTACCGAAGCGCCAATCAAATGATCGTAACATGGTCAGAACGTGTTAGAACCAGGTTGAACCTGTGTTTTGGGACGATATAACACATTGCCTCCACCGCAGCGCGATCGGATTGGCGCGGAACGGACGTGTTTTGTTATAACATTCTCCGCGCGATCTTTTCAACCGACTGCATTTGGCGATCGTCATGCAAGCAACGCACGCCGTCCGCCAGCACCTGACGCGCCAATGGTATCCGGACGCAAGACGACTACGATCTGAGTGCAAGTAGGGACGCGGTCATCGTGGGCGGTGGCCACAACGGGCTCGTCGCGGCCACGTACCTCGCCAAGGTCCTCTCGCTACGACCAGCGTGAGCTCATGCTGACGCTGTCTAGGCCGGCAAGTCGGTGTGCGTCCTCGAGAAGCGCCACTTGCTCGGCGGCGCGGCCGTTACGGAAGAGATCATTCCGGACTTTCACTTCTCCCGCGCCTCGTACGTCTTTAGCCTCTTTCGGCCGCAGATCATCCGCGACCTCGACTTGTACCGGCACGGCCTGGAGAGTATGAAGACCCTGAAGTTGTTGCGTGGTGATCAACGCGTTTGGCTAGTCTACCCACGCGATCCGTCGTCGTTCACGCCGCTGCTCAACGGCCAGAGCCTCCTTCTCGGCAGCGACATGCAGGCCAACCAAGCGAGCATCGGTAGAGCTCGATCGTCCATCGTATCCGAGGCCGTAGTGCTTGGTCGTAGCGCAATTCTCCAAGGCCGACGCGGCCAAGTACCCTGCCTACAACGCGATGCTCGACGTACGCAACCTGTTGTGATCGAACGGTGCGTGATCATGGCGTGCGTCTAGCGCCTTGTCGACTTTTTTGTCCCGCTTGTGGACGAGGTACATGCTGTCTTTGCAAGTACTAGGCTTCCATGCTAAAGTCATAGCTGCCACCGGATCTCAAGGTGGCGTTGGGCCCGACTTCGTCGTTGACGTACCCTTCTTGACGCTACCAACAAGAATGTGGTCGTGATGCTTCGGGTTAGGGCCCGCATGGATGCGCTCCGATCGCTGGGCCACTTGGGTGTGCGCTGCACCAAGCTCGGGTCCGAGCTCCCGACCTTCCTCGAGTTTATGACGGCGCCGGCCGACAAGATTTTGAACAAGTGGTTTGAGAGCGACGTGCTCAAGGCCACGCTCGCAACCGACGCCATCATTGGCGCCAAGGTACATTTCTACTGACGTCACTTGCTGATGCACAAAGTAGCTGTCGCCGTCGACGCCAGGGTCGGCGTACGTGCTCTTCCACCACATTATGGGCGAAGTCAACGGCATCAAGGGTACATGGGGCCACGTGAAAGGCGGTATGGGCGGTGTCACGTCGGTGCGTCATCAACTCACTTCCCGACCACTGCTGACCAAATACTTGATATCCAGGCACTGACTAAAGCGGCACTGGAAGCTGGCGTGCACCTCGTCACCGATGCTACTGTCCAATCGATTGACGTGGCGAACGGTCGCGTCGCCGGCGTCACGCTTGCGTCCGGGGACCACATTGCGGCGTCGACCGTGCTCTCGAATGCGAGTCCGTCTCTGACGTTTCTCGAGCTTATCGACCGCCAGCTGCTCCCAATCGACTTGGTCGCTCATTTTGAAAAAGCGTGGAACACCGAGTCGGCGTCGACCAAGGTGCGCATGTTGAACGTTATCTCGCTCAATAAGTTCTTGTAGATCAACGTGGCGCTGAGTGCGCTGCCCAACTTTAGCTGCGCGCCAAACGTCGGGTCGGGCGCGATGCCACACCATCGGGGCACCACGCACTTTGAGGATTCCATGGCGCAGGTGCGGCCTCACACACCGACGCCAGACACTCAATGCGACGGACGCACTAGATCCACGATGCGTTTCTTGACGTCGAGCAAGGCTACTGCTCGAAGCGGCCCGTGATCGAGCTGAACATCCCGACCGCGCTCGACGCCTCGATCGCGCCCGAAGGTACAACTGTGGTACCTGGAATTGCAGTCGACTAGCAAGTGGCTTTGTGCTATGTAGGCAAGCACATTGCACTGCTCTTTGTACAGTACACGCCGTATGCGCCCAAGGTACACAGATTTGCAACCCAGGCCACTCATTTTGGCAACGTAGGACGGGCCGTGGACCGATGCGAAGAAGGCGCAGTACGCCGACCAAGTGTTTTCGGTCATTGAGCAATATGCACCCGGCTTCAAGCAGTCGGTGCTCGGCTACGACATGCTGACGGTACGCTACCGATTCTATGCAAGCTACTACAACGAGAATCGTGTAGCCGCCCGACCTCGAGCGCATCTTTTCACTGCCGCGCGGCAACATCTTTCACGGCGCGATGGGCCTCGACCAGCTCTTTTGGCTGCGCCCGCTCAGCGGCTACGCCGACTACCGGACGCCTATCGACGGCCTCTACCTCTGCTCGGCCGGCACGCACCCTGGCGGCGGCGTCATGGGCGCCTGCGGGCGCAACGCGGCCAACGTCTGTCTCCGCGACATGCCATGAGCGTCTTGGTCTTGGTCGTATGCCATACCGGTACTTGGTAGCTGCCATCGGTCGACCAAGTAAGATCCCACAAACCTGAGTTCTGAGTGGCTGTATTTTTATGGATTTTTTAAAAATTATGCGGGCGCATGTCGCAGGTGGCAGCTGGCGCCCATGACGTGGCGCGCTGTGGTGTCGTGGTGCCTGCGAAATGTCAGCAACCTGCCTTCAAGTGCCCCTGTGCCCGTGGCCGCCTTCTTTCCTCAGACGTCCTACGTAGTAGCAGTCGTATGATAGTCATTCGGCCATCCCATAGGATCTTCTCAGGTGGCATCTACCTCGTCATCCATGACTCTGGCGCGCATCATGGCGCAAGAATACGCACCTGTGACGATCCCCCCGTCAACCCCCACCAAATGACGCCGTCTTCTTGAAGCAAATCGCGCCTCCCACCGCGAGAAGACCAGCTAAACCATCATTTTTCTGCTCCGAGCCCACACTCTGGTGCTGCGTCGACAGTTATTTGAAGCTGCGCACGGCGTCGCCGTCGTCGGCCATGCACTTGGGGCAGTCGTGGTCGTAGTTGCTCGCATCTGCTTCTGCTTCTTCGTAGCTACTTTGCAGTACGCTTGGCTGGGATTCGAAGCCGCTCGTTCGACCCGTGGGACTTTGTGAGTAAAACCGGAAATCGAAAAAACGTAGTTGCGTGCATTCATCCCCATCATGCATTGGCATACAAACACCAAGTACAATGCTAACCAAGTGATATGGGCACGCCATGTGATTGCATCAACAGCCGATCGACGTTCGAGGTTTTAAATTGCATACAAAGATCAAGATAAAGTGGAAAAATAGAATACGTAACGGGCGCGGTGACAGCATCCCATCACTCAACGCGTTAAAAAAAGTGACAGCGGCCAAAGCGCATGGCATTCCGCAGATAGACAAGCCGACGCACCATCATGGAGGCTGGCGCCCGCGTCTGGGTCAAGGACGACGACGAGATATGGGTCCCGGGCGTCGTGGACGAGTGCCACGACCTGCACCGCGTGCGCGTCCGGCGCGACGGCGGCCGCGGCGACATTGACATCGACCTGCGTACGTTGCAGCCATCGATTCCTTCGCGTCATGTAGCTGCCTTAGGCCATGGCGCCGAGGTCGAACCGAGCTTGCACCTGCGCAACGACGTCGACGACTTTACGAACGTGCCCAACTTGATCCAGCTCCAGTATTTGCACGAGCCCGAGCTGCTCTTTGCGGTCGCGAACCGCTTCGAGCACGACCTCATCTACACGTACATTGGCGACATTCTGCTTGCGTTCAACCCGTTCCGGCCCATCAACATGTACTCGATGCAGCACGTCCGCGCGTACGAGGCCATGGACAGCGACGCGCCGCCGCATGTGTTTGCGATCGCGTCGATGGCGTACCGCTGCATGCGCGACGAGAAGAAGAACCAGTCGATCTTGGTCTCGGGCGAGTCGGGCGCCGGCAAGACAGAGAACACCAAGTTTCTCATGCAGTACCTCGCGACGGTCGGCGCACCGACGTCCTCGATGACTTCAAGTCCGGCCAAGACGCCGGCCAAACGTCAAAGTCGGCTCAAGACGCCAGTGACGACACCCGTGACGACGACGACGGTCATTCAGACGCAGATTCTGCAGACCAACCCGATTTTGGAGGCGTTTGGGAACGCCAAGACGGTCCGCAATGACAACTCGTCGCGCTTTGGCAAGTTTATCGCGCTGCAGTTTGGCGCCGACCACACGATTGTCGGCGCCAAGATCTCAGTGTACCTCCTCGAGAAGATCCGGCTCAGCCACCAGTCGCTCGGCGAGCGCAACTTTCACATCTTTTACGAGCTCTGCGCCGGCGCCGACGACGACCTCGCCGACTTGCTCGAGCTGAGTGCGATGGAAGACTATGCGATTTTGAGCCAGAGCGAGTGCTACGAGCGGCGGTCGGTCGACGACGCGGCCCAGTTTGGCCTGACGACGCAAGCCTTCCGGGACATGGGCGTCCCGGACGACGAAACCACATCGATTCTGAGTGTCGTCGCCTCGCTTCTGCACCTCGGCAACGTCGCGTTCGACGCGGTGAATTCGTCGACGTCCAACTTGGAGATGGCGGCGATCGCGGCTTCGTCAGCATCGCACTTGGCCACGGCGTCGCGGCTCCTCGGTGTGTCCTCCGAGGCGCTTGTGACGGCGCTCGTGACGCGCCGGATCCATACGACGCGCGAGGTCGTCGAGGTCAAGCTCACGGCGGCGCAGGCCGAGGACGCCAAGCAGTCGCTCATGCAGAGCATCTACGGCGGTCTCTTCCTCTACATTGTCGAGCGCCTCTCCAACATCATTTGCCATGACCGCGCGTGCGTCACGACGATCGGGATCCTCGACATTTTTGGGTTTGAGAACCTCCACACGAACGGGTTTGAGCAGCTCTGCATCAACTACGCCAACGAGCGGCTCCAAGCGCAGTTCAACGACCTCGTCTTTGCCAAGGAGCAGCGCATGTACGCGTCCGAGGGCATCGAGTGGAAGTACATTGAGTTTCCTGACAATGCCCCGTGCCTCCAGCTGCTCGAAGATCGCCCCACCGGCATGTGGTGTCTCCTCGACGAAGAGTGCATCTTGCCAAAGGGCTCAAACGAAGCGTGGATCACCAAGTTGTACCAGACGTTTCTGCCGCTGGAAGAGCCGAGTCCAATACTCCCGAGCCGACGCGTCTCGAGCGCTGACGTGAGCCGTCGACCACCGGTCGTCGACCGCCGTATGTCGTACGACGGGCTCACGAGTCATGGTGTTGCCGGCTCACGGCCGTTCTACGCGTCACGCACGCAGCAAGCTAGCTTTCAGTTTGTGATTGGCCATTTCGCCGGGCGCGTCATGTACGAGCTCGACGCGTTCCTTCAGAAGAACCAAGACGCGCTGCCGGCCGAAGCCGTCGCGCTCTGCCAAGGCTCGTCGGCGCCGATGGTGCAGGCACTGCTGGGTGCGCCCAAGCGTGGTGGCAAGCAAAGCACAGCCAACAAGGGTCTCTCGCGGGCACCGAGCAGTCTTCGCACCGCCAGCGTCAGCGCCCAGTTCAAATCCCAGCTTGACGACCTCATCAGCGTCATTGGCAGCACGCAAGCTCGGTACATTCGGTGTGTCAAGTCCAACGACGCCGGCGCACCCCGCTGTCTGCACAAGCCCCGCGTGATCCAGCAGCTCCGGTCCGGCGGCGTCCTCGAAGCTGTCCGGATCGCTCGCGCCGGGTACGCGGTCCGCGAAGACCACGGCCATTTTGTCCAAGCGTTTGGCTTCCTGGTGCCCAAGCCCAAGAAGCCCAAAGCCGGCAAGACGCCACCAAGTGTGCACCGGGGCGACGGCACGAAGCAGCGTACCGAGCTCGTCGTCGCCGCGGTGCTCCTCGCCCTCGACGCACCGGACGCGGCGCTCGCCAAGACGATCCTGAGCAACGGCAAGTACTCCCGCACCGAGCTCCAAGACGCGTGCGGTCGTGCCGGCTTCCAGCTCGGGTACTCGAAGATTTTCTTCCGGAAAGAAGTGTACAACCAGCTGCGCTGGCTGCGTCGGCAGACGTTGACCGCGTGCACGCTCCAGCTCCAGCGACTCTACCGTGGGCACGTCGCCCGCGAGGAAGCCCGCGCCCGCCACAAGGCCGTGCAAGTGCTGCAAGCCTGGGCAAGAGCGGCGCTGACGGTGCGGCGCCAGCGCAAGGCGAGTGCAACTCGAATCCAAGCGGCTTTTCGCCGCCATGCCGCACGGACGCGCTACTGCTGCCTGCGCAACGGTGTGGACGCCTGCCAGCGCTTTTGGCGCTCGCGTCGCATTTGGCGGGCGGCCCGGGAGGCCCGCGACGCGCGCCTCCGCGCCGAAGAAGCCACGGTCGCCGGACAGCTGCGCAAGCAGCAGGAAGAGCTGGCCCGCGCGCGCGACGCGATCGAAGCCGCGGCCGCCGCCGAACGAGCAGCGCTCGCTGCCGAGCGGCAACGACAAAAGGACGAAGAGGCCGCGACACGGGCGGCATGGGCGGCCGAGCGCGCCGCGGCGGAAGCTGCCCACCGCGAAGCGTTCGAGCGCGAGCTCCAAGCAATGCGGGACGAGCTCCAGCGGCAAACGGACGAAGCCGAGGCCGCGCGGCGGCGCCATGACAACCTCGAACACGACCGTCGTGTCGAGGCACCTGGCGTCCGTCCGCACGTGTCAACCTCCAGCCCGCACGCCCGTCGCCTTGAGGAAGACGAGCACGAGCGGCGTGCGACAGCGCGCGAGGCCATCGTCGTTGAAGCCGCGCGGGTCGCAAGCTCTCGGCACGGCCATAGCTCGGTGACACGTGCGCTGGACGCAGGCGACATGGCCCACGTCCTTGGCGCGTTGGGCATCCAAGCGCCGACCAACAGCAATGGCGAGAACGGCGACCTCGTCGACAACTATGCGCAGTGCCTCCAAGCACTCTCGGTCGTTGTCGAGCAGCCCATGGTGATCAAGGCGCTGACGCAGATCTTGCAGGTACGATGCCTTCAAGTATCTTGACTGCGTCATATCGGAGGACGTGTGTAGGCCGTGTCGCACCCGGAAGCAACACCACCGACGCCGTCCGCGGTGGTGGAGGCCGACCTAGTTGCGCCACCGCCGCCGGTGCCAGAACCCGAGCCGCACCTTCCGCCGGCGCTCGAGCCGTTGCACCCGGTCATTGACACGGTCAAGGAGGTGTACGACTACAGCATGAGCTACTCAGTCGTCCGGTTCCTTGTCACCAAGATCCAGGACAAGGCCACGTCGCGCCTCTCGACCATTTTGACCAACCCGACGGTTCAGACCGCGCTCCTCACCGCGCACTCGCTCACGGCCACTGCGTGGCACGCCGCCTGCGAATACTACCCGCTCGCGACGCAGGTCTCAAACGACGTCGAGCGGCTCCGGGCGGCGGTGCTCTCGCGCGCATGTGTCCCGCTGCCAGCCACGTCAATGCCGCTGGAAGAGATGCTCGTCAACAGCGCCGAGGTCCGGCAGTCGCTCATCGAGCTCGCGCTCGAGCAAGAGGCGAAGATCAAGGAGCTCGAGGCCGCGGTGGCTGAGAACGCGTCGTTCTTCAACCAAATGGCATCGGCCATGGCGCATGGCCCCCAAGGTAGACCTTCATTAGCCATCTCGAGTGACGACGACATCTCCTAGTCGCACGCCCCGCGCTTGGCAATGGCAGCACGTCGCCGCGGTCGCTGCCCAAAGTGCACCCGTTCTAGTCGTTTATTTAGTCGCATTTTTAGTCGCCATACCAACACGAGTTGAAACAAGTTATATGCAAGATGGTTCTCCGAATGGATCGATAGATTGATAGATTGATAGTTAGTTGAAGACGACTCGTGGTGGCCGACTCGACACGACGTACAGACTTGCCGAGACATCAGCCTCATCCTATCTCAAGGTGGGTAGACTGCAACGACAATCGTTGAGTCATTTTCTGACAGGCCGGTGTGAAGTGTTGGGACAGGGCGTCCGCCAACGGTCCCTTCCTCCATGGAACCATGCTTCGTACTCGTCCGAAGGTCAAACGCGCATTCTCTCTCGATACCGCAGTAGAATGCTGTGGCTCATGCGCCTTGACAACCCCGAGACGCCGTCGCGCGTTGCTCGCATCCTCGAGATGAACGAGTCGGACTTTGCACTGGTGACGCGCTACTCGTTGACGTTGGGTATTGAAGCCGTTGAGAGCTACGCACCGGCGGCCCCCCTGCCGCCTGGCGCCGCGCTCTACCTGCAACATGTGAAGCTCGACGATGTGTGCAACGTCGAAAAGTTCCCCCTCGTCGAAGTAGGCGAAGGTGACCCGCCGTTTTTGATCGAGTGGCTCAAGATGCATATGATGTGCGTACTCGGTGGCAAGGTGGTGGCGGCGCAGGCGATCGCGCTTGCGCCGACCGACCCCGAGGCGGCCGCCGAGGTGCTCAAGCAAGCAATTCCAGACATGAACATTCGTGTCGCGGCGCGCGCGACCCGCAAGAAGACGTCGGCGACGGCGTCCGAGTACAAGGCCATGATGCACGCGCTCGAGGTCGTTGGCAATATGGACGTTCTGGACGCGTTTCTCGGTGACGCGCTCCGCGTCGTCCGCGGCACGCACCTCGCACCTGTCGCGAATTGGATTCACCGCATGCTCTGTCGCTTTGGCTGGGAGGCGCTGCTGCCGGCCATGCGGCGGCTCGTCTCGCGCTGGGGCCGGTGCATGGCGTCGTCGTCGCACGTGGTCGACTTGCTAGCGAGCTTGGCGGGTTGCACCGACACACCCGCATGTCCTCGCTTGGAGCTGCCGTTTGCCACCGAGTGCATCAAGCTGCTCTGGCGCCGCCTCCAGACTGCGGTCGCGCGACTGCTCGAGGACGGCCGCTACAAGGCCGACACCAACACGCTCGTCAAGCACATTTTACGACTCGAGCACTATTGGGATGTGACGGACGAGCTGACGTGGTTTGGCGCGCGGTTGCCGCGGCAGGCGACCGCCATCATTGACCAGTTTCGCTTTGGCGTGCTGACGCCGTTCTTATCGCAGCTAAACAAGCCGACCTACCATGAACGTATTCCGTTGAGTGAAGCAGCCGTGGCGGTCGCCGCAGTGCGCAAGGCGGTGCCGACGCTGCCATGTACCAAGTACGTGACGCCACTCTGGCGCTGGCTCGATGCCGACACGAAACCCAAGGCGCTGTCGGTGGCGGCCGTGCACAGCCTTTTGTGGCTCGCCCAGTTGGATACCGCCGTGCCTCTGGACGAGAAGCTGATCGAGCGTCTCTGGCAGCGCTCGGGGCGGTTTGCTGTGGAAGGCGCCTGGGCGACAGGCCCGATGCTGCCGCCACCCGCCTTGGCACTGCTCGTGCAGTATACCGTGGCGTCGGCCGGCGTGTACGAGTCGGCGACGCTGGACCCCGAAACAATCACGAACGCACTGCCCCTTTTGCCCTACGTGGCACTCTCGCGCAAGCTTGTGGTTCGGCAAAAGGCGATGACCGCGCGCCACCTGGCGGCGTTGACGTTTTTGAAGGCGCAGGCGGCATCGACGGTGCTCTCGTACGTGTCGAAGCTCGTGGCGCGCGTGCCCAACGCGCCGGTCCTCCAGGCCATGTGGCGCCGCGTCCTCGACGAGCTTTGCACTGCGATGCAGACGACGATGCCGATGGCCGTGGATGCGATTGCGCTGCTCGCCGTGCTGACGCAGGACCGGAAGCGCCCGCTCGAGACGCCAAACCAGCGCAAGGGGCCCCCGCGCCACCGTCGGCGCTTCTTCTGACTCGACCGCACGTCGAGATTGTCACTTAGTCTTTGATGCAAAGGACACAATACATTGGTATGGGGCGTGGCAAGCTCGTTTTGCTGTGGCGCGCAAATTCCGAGATACGTATCCGGATACCTAGATGGTATCCGGTATTAGAGGCAGTATCTGCCACCTTTAGCGTGACGTGGCGCGCTGGCGTTGCGGTGCCGAAAATACGCTGGGCGCAAGCCAAATTGTCACAGCACAATTTACAATTTGTCAACATAAAAATACAGACAGTTTGTGCACAAAATGGTAGAGAAATGGTGCAAAAGTAGAATTCATGAAATACGCGATAAATAATGTCCAAAACTAGACAAATTGTGGAAACCGGCGGGACGGGGCCTCCGACTTGCGCGCTTCGACGCAGATTTCGACAAAGCACACGTCACAGACGCGGACGGGCGCCGACTCGTCGTCGGCGCCACACCCGACAAGGCACGCGCGGCGGTTCGAGTGTTCTGCATACCACATGAGGCCCTCGACTTGATACATTGATACAAACGATACCGTGGCAGAACGAGTGGCCGCACAATCGGCAGTGGTGGCGCCGTGTAAACCACGTAAACTCAGCTTTGCACTCGTAGCAGACTACGTCGCGCGCCCACTTGGAGATATCGCGCACGTGGTACGTGAGGCGGCTCGTCGGCCGGCGCTCGACAATGTCCGAGGCCGTCGAGACCGTGCTCGGGAGGCTCGCGAGCGACCGCTTTGTGAGCATGCAGGTCCGGAGGCTGTCGACTTGGCGCTGGAGCTCGTCGACGCGCGAGTCGTACTCGTCGGCGTCCGAGTCGTAGCCCAATTCGTCCAGCGGCGGGTAGAACGCCGGCCGCCACTCGGTCGACTTGCGCGGGTAAAACTCGAGCCCTTCGATCGAATCGCATCGTGGCTTGCGGACGCGGTCGGCTTCGAGATGCTTGAGCTTCTCCTTTGCCGCATGGAGCTTCCGGAGAAGCGTGCGGAGCTGCTCTTGGGCGCACTCGAGCGTATCGGGACACGGGACCGCGAGGTCGTCGACCATCGAGAAGGCGTCTTCGCTCAGTGACGGTCGGTCGGCGTCATACCCATGCACATTCTCATTGTAGTCGAGGAGCAGATTCGAGTACCGGATCTGGGTCGTGAGCAGCTGCTGCGAGAGCGACACAATCTGCTGGTGCGCAAACGCGAGCTCGTCAACAGGCGCCCCCCGTGGCACGAGCGCCGACGTCGTTATCGTCGTTTGCTGTCGAAGCAACTCGAGCTCGAGCCGGAGCTTCTCGTTCTGCAGCGTAAGGTTCTCGACGAGCGCCGCGGTCGCCGAGTCGGTCAGCACCGTCGTCGTCGTCGTCGTTGTTGTATTTGTCGATGGTGGCAGCGACACGGTAGCAACGACCGGCGGCACGGCGGTGACCATCGGCGATACCATGGCCGAGACTACCGGGGACGTCCCAAGTCGCGGCGAGAGCGTCGGTGTCGGCATACTCTGCTCGAGCTCAAGCTCGGCGACCCGTTCAGCCGCCCGGCGCCGGTCGTCCGCACGCCGTTGCTCGTCCACGATGGCTTGGGCTTCTCGCGCTGCCTGCGCAAACGCCTCTAGCTCGAGACGTCGGGCCGTCTCGCGCGCGGCCCGCGCACGCAGCCACACTTTCCGCGACCGCCAAAAGCGCTGGCAAGCCGCGACCCCGCGGCGCAGCACCGTCCAGCGGCGCACGGCAGCAAAGCGGCGCCATGCCGCTTGCACCATTATTGCGCTGCGTCGGACGAGCCGGCGGCGTGTGAGCACCTGCCGAGCCCACGCCTGCAGCACAGCAATGGCCGCTTGTGCGATCGCATACGCCTTGGCGGCGCAGTAACCTCGGTAGATGCGCTGGATGTGCGTCGCCGACGCCGACAGCTTTTGACGGCGACGGAGCCGGAGGCTGTTGTACACTTCTTTGCGAAAAAACATCTTTGTGACACCGAGCTGGAAGCCGGCGCGGCCGCACGCGTCCTGGAAGGCCGACCGGTCGTACGTCAGCCCGCTCAAGACGCGCTTGGCCACGTCAGCAGCGTCCTCGCCGTCGAGTACGAGCATGGCCGCGATGCGCTCGCACTTGGTCTTGTTTGGCAGCACCGTCGTCGTCTTCTTGCTCTTGCGCGGCGACGACGGCAAGAGAAACCCAAACTGCTCGACAAACACCGCGTGGTCGACGCGGACTGCGTACCCGGCACGAGCGATCCTGACGGCTTCGAGGACGCCTCCGGACCGGAGTTGCTGGATCACGCGGGGCTTGTGCAAACACCGGGGCTCGGCCGCGTCGTTGGACTTGATACACCGAATGTAGCGGGCTTGCGTGCTGCCAATGACGCTGATGAGTTCATCGAGCTGCGACTTGAACTGGGCGCTGACGCTGGCGGCGCGGAGACTGCTGGGCACTCGAGTGAGGCGCGGCGCCGACGTCGCTTTCGCCTGGACTTTGGCTTTGGGTGCGAGCAGCGACTGCACGAGCAGCGACGACGACGCGTTACAGAGCCCAATGGCTTCGACTGGCAGCGCGTCTTGGTTCTTCTGAAGGAACGCGTCGAGCTCGTACATGACGCGCCCGGCGAAATGGCCAATCACAAACTGGTAGGCAACTTGCTGTGTGTGCGACGCATAGAACGGTCGAGTCGGCTTGGGGCCGACGGGTGGCTTCTTGAGCTGGCCGCGCTCGGGGTTCGAGTGCCGGCGCGACTCGGAAATGGTCTCGTCGAGCGGCAGAAACGTTTGGTACAACTTGGTGATCCACGCTGCGTTTGAGCCCTTTGGCAAGATGCACTCTTCGTCGAGGAGACACCACATGCCGGTGGGGCGATCTTCGAGCAGCTGGAGGCACGGGGCATTGTCAGGAAACTCAATGTACTTCCACTCGATGCCCTCGGACGCGTACATGCGCTGCTCCTTGGCAAAGACGAGGTCGTTGAACTGCGCTTGGAGCCGCTCGTTGGCGTAGTTGATGCAGAGCTGCTCAAACCCGTTCGTGTGGAGGTTCTCAAAGCCAAAAATGTCGAGGATCCCGATCGTCGTGACGCACGCGCGGTCATGGCAAATGATGTTGGAGAGGCGCTCGACAATGTAGAGGAAGAGACCGCCGTAGATGCTCTGCATGAGCGACTGCTTGGCGTCCTCGGCCTGCGCCGCCGTGAGCTTGACCTCGACGACCTCGCGCGTCGTATGGATCCGGCGCGTCACGAGCGCCGTCACAAGCGCCTCGGAGGACACACCGAGGAGCCGCGACGCCGTGGCCAAGTGCGATGCTGACGAAGCCGCGATCGCCGCCATCTCCAAGTTGGACGTCGACGAATTCACCGCGTCGAACGCGACGTTGCCGAGGTGCAGAAGCGAGGCGACGACACTCAGAATCAATGTGGTTTCGTCGTCCGGGACGCCCATGTCCCGGAAGGCTTGCGTCGTCAGGCCAAACTGGGCCGCGTCGTCGACCGACCGCCGCTCGTAGCACTCGCTCTGGCTCAAAATCGCATAGTCTTCCATCGCACTCAGCTCGAGCAAGTCGGCGAGGTCGTCGTCGGCGCCGGCGCAGAGCTCGTAAAAGATGTGAAAGTTGCGCTCGCCGAGCGACTGGTGGCTGAGCCGGATCTTCTCGAGGAGGTACACTGAGATCTTGGCGCCGACAATCGTGTGGTCGGCGCCAAACTGCAGCGCGATAAACTTGCCAAAGCGCGACGAGTTGTC